CATCCCTTTCGGCCAGCGCCAGCCTGGGACTGGGCCCAGGCTCCTCGCCCCTCCTTTCAGAGACAGGAACGACAACAAGATCGTTCAGCATACAGAGGCAGATCACAGTTCCAGACCAAGCGGTCCTTTCGAGGTGCAGGGAGCCGCTCCTTTAAGCGAGGCAAGTGAACCTGCAGCCTCACCTCCCATAGGAGGCCGGTTGGCCCTCTATTCCAGCATTTGGGTGGCCACTACTACGGACGCATGGGTGTTAGACACCGTCTCCCAAGGTCTGAGACTAGAATTTTGTTCCCATCCACCTGACAGATTCCGCTCTTGTCCTATTTCAACGAACAGGACCAGAGCTGAACTTATGTCAGAGGCAATAGCTCATTTATTGCAAATACAAGCAATTGAACCAGTACCACAAGACCAAGAAGGACGAGGGTTTTACTCAAACCTTTTCGTCATTTCCAAGACTTCAGGGGGCTGGAGGGCGATCTTGGACTTAAAAGGTCTAAACCTCTACTTGAGATATAAAAAATTTAAGATGCAATCCCTTCAATCAATCCTGGCTGGCGTCAGGCAAGGTGACTTTCTTACCTCCATAGACCTGACTGAGGCATACTTGCACATCCCAATTTCCTGGACACTGCAAATTCCGCAGATTCAGTTATGCCCAACACCACTACCAGTACAGAGCCCTTCCATTTGGCCTCTCATCTGCACCGAGAGTATTTACAAAGGTACTGGCAGTGATTGCAGCCCACCTTAGACAAATTCCCATCAGAGTTCAATGCTATCTAGATGACATTCTAATTCAGTCATCATCATGGCAAGGTGCCCAAGCAGACCTCGCCCTAGCCATCAAGGTTTTGCAGGAGCACGGTTTTTCTGTGAATTTCCAGAAAAGTCATACTGTACCAACAACTCGGCTCCTCCATTTGGGCGCAGTTATAGACACAGGCAACTGCACGGTCTACCTATCTCAGGACCGACGGAACTCTATCCAGACTCTTGTACGTCGGATCCGAAAGGACAGAGTAGTCACATTGGCATCCCTTTCACAACTACTAGGGAAGATGGTGTCCTGCGTGCAAATTGTGCCATGGGCACGTCTCCATGCCAGAGAATTACAGTGGCTTCTCCTTCCATTTCAGAGACTTCATACCAGCACATCCCACCAGAAGGTCCGAGTTCCACGGTCGGTGTTGAACTCCCTTCGTTGGTGGGACTCTCCGGCACTGTCACGGGGAGCAGAATTCAAAGAGCCAGACAGGATCACCATCACCACAGACGCAAGCCTATTTGGGTGGGGGGCACACCTCCACACACACTGGGCCCAAGATCAGTGGTCCAGGCAAGATCTAAAGAACAATATAAACTGGCTGGAACTAAGAGCCATACACATGGCCCTAAAGAGATTCAGCAGCTTAGTACAGGGCCAGCACATCCTGGTCTTAACCGACAACATCACAGCCAAGGCCCATATCAACAGACAGGGGGGAACAAGGTCCAAGCCTCTCATGCAGGAGGCCAGATTGCTGGGGTCTTGGGCGGAACTGAATCTTGCCTCCATCAGGGTGGAGCACATATCCGGAGTGGCCAACCAGCAGGCGGACTCACTGAGCAGAGCCACCGTGGACCATTCCGAATGGCAGCTGGATCCGAAGATCTTCAGAGAGATCGTGTACAGGTTTGGTTCCCCAACCCTAGATCTGTTTGCCTCCCCAGCCAACTCACAGGTTCCCAGATTCCTTTCCAGGTTCCCGTCTCCATCAGCGGAAGGAACAGATGCACTCCGCAGTCCCTGGCCCAGGGAACTGCTCTATGCCTTTCCTCCCCTGCCCCTTCTACCTACCACGATCAGGAAGATCCTTCGCGAACAAGCAGAGGTCCTCCTGGTCGCCCCGCATTGGCCGAGACAATCTTGGTTCGTCGACCTGATGGAGCTCTCCGCATCCCCTCCATGGAGGATTCCAGCCAATCGGATCTCCCTCATTCAGGGGGAGTTACATCATCCAGACCCTCAATGGCTCCAGTTAACCATCTGGCACTTGAGAGGCAGGCCTTAGGCCTAGACTCATATTCGTCAAGGGTCATAGCCATGATCCAGCAATCCAGGCGACCCTCGACGAATAGAATATACGATGCCACATGGAAGAGCTTCTGTAATTGGTGTTTAGCTCACAAAATTGAACCCTTACAGGCTGCAGTGCCAGTTATCTTGGAGTTCCTGATGGACGGTTTGGACAAAGGGCTTTCTACAAGCACCATCCGTAGGCAGGTAGCAGCACTCACCACGGTTATTTCCTGTGGCAAGGAACCCTTAACACAGCACCCTATGATACGCTCCTTCCTAAAAGGAGCTAACAATGCCAGACCACCAGTGGTACATAGATACCCCTCCTGGAACCTTCATCAGGTTTTACAGGCTCTTGTCTCACCACCCTTTGAGCCAATTGACACTTGTTTGCTCAAACTATTATCAATGAAGGTGGCATTTCTGGTTGCTGTAACTTCAGCCAGAAGAATCTCTGAGCTGGCTGCCGTGTCAGTGAGAAAGGACCTGTGTATCTTCCATAGGGACAGGGTTACTCTCAGGTTAGATCCCTCTTTCGTGCCCAAGGTCAACTCCTTGTATCATAGATCACAGGACATAGTTTTGCCGGATTTCTGTCCGAACCCATCTAATGACATAGAGGCTCAGTGGAACAGATTGGATGTTCACAGGGCCTTATATTGCTATATACAGAGAACCTCATCCTTCCGCAAGACTGAGGCTCTGTTTGTGTCATTTCAACCTTCGTCGTTAGGACAGAAGGTTTCCTCACCCACTATAGGCAGGTGGATTAGAGCTTGTATTTCTCTGGCATACCAGACTCAGTCACTACAAGCTCCCAGCCATATCACGGCCCATTCCACCAGGGGCGCAGCCACTACAGCAGCCTGGTCTACCCAGGCATCCATAGAGGAAGTTTGTAGGGCAGCAACATGGGCATCGCCCTCCTCCTTTGTCCGTCACTACAAGATGGATATATATGCATCTTCTATGGCTTCATTTGGCCGCAATGTCCTAGAACACCCATTAACATTGGGTGGGAACCAGGCCCAATCTAATTCCCCACCCTAGGGACACAGGGCTTTGGTATGTCCCATCCATGGGTTCTCCATCCAATCATGCTGGAGAAAGGGGCGTTGTCTTACCTGAACGCCTTTTCTCAGCATGATGATGGAGAATCCACTCCCTTCCCATTAGGTCAGTTGGCCTGGTCCCCATTTGTTCAGACGCGTCGGACTAAAGTCTGGGTATCGCCTTAGCCTAAAACTGGGGTGCAGTTGGCACAGAGGGGGCGGTACTAAATTTCAGACTTAGTCTAATTGGAGCAGATAGATTAAGACAACCCATCCATGGGTTCTCCATCATCATGCTGAGAAAAGGCGTTCAGGTAAGACAACGCCCCTTTCTAGTCCACTGCTCAAGCAGGATAACCTATACCATCTCAGACAAGTGACTATCTAGCCTCTTTTTAAAAATCTCCAGTGATGTGCGTCATGATTTCTGGGGGCAATCTGTTCCATTAGTTAATTGTCCTCACTGTCAGGAAGTTTCTCCTTAATTCCAGGTTGCTTCTCTCTTTAATCCGTTTCCAGCCATTGTTTCTTGTTCTGCCCTCTGGTGCTTTGGTGAATAACATGATCCCCTCTTCTTTGTGGCAGCCCCTCAAATACTGGAACACTGCTATCATGTCACCCTAATTTCTTCTTTCCTTTAGACTAGCCAAACCCTAGTCCTTTAGCCATTCTCCATATGTTTTAGCCTCCAGGCCCTTAGTTATCTTAGTTGTTTTTCTTTGCACTTTTTCCAAAGTCTCAACATCTGTTTTGTAATATGGTGACCAAAATTGGTTGCAGTATTCCAGGTGTGGTCTCACTAGAGTTTTATAAAGCGGTATTGTGTGATCTTGATTCTGTGCCTCGGTTTACGCAACCCAGGATTGTATAAAGTGTAAACATAGTTTTACTGTTGAACGGCTCTTCCTCTTAGCATATTTGTTTTTCTGATAGTCATTCTGAATCTGTCTTTTAATAACTTCATAACATGGAACGTGTCTTCTCCTAACAAACAAGAGAAAACATCTCCTGCTTTTTCTAGTTGACTCATTGTACTCCAGCTTAGGATTCCTCTGATCTATTGAAAAGTTGTGGGTGCCCTGTCACTCAAGAAGAGACTGGACAACCATTTGCCTGAAAAGGTACATGGTCATGAAGGGGCTTGGATTAGATGACCTCTAAGGTCCTTTCAAATTCCATTATGACAGTGGTTCTCAACCTGTGGGTCGGGATCTCATTTGGGGTCGAACGACCATTTCACAGGGGTTGCCAAACAATGCAATCCGCCATTTTTTCCCCTTTTCCTTAGCTGTGCTACTCCCTCTCTTGAATAGAGTCTAATTCTATTGGCTTTCAAAAGCCAATAGGAATTGTCCAGGTTGTCTCTGCCCTGCTGAGCCTGCTAAAAGTCCCATTCTGCAAACGGTGCTGCACCAGTTGAGTAGTCCTTGACTTATGACAGGTTGGGGGTCGCGGCATTAAAAAGGTTGAGAACCACTGCATTATGACATTCAATCAGTTATGGAGTCTCTTCTCTCTTGCCTCATATAAAGTTTAAAAATGGCTAGTAGTTTTCCTCCCTACACCCATTGTATTCATTTGTCTGTTGGAAATTTGTACCCATGTACTGAGAGAATTTAATCTAAACAGTCCATTTCAAATCTGTGAGTCTGTAGCTCTCTTCTACTTGATTAGAAAAAATTGATCTGGTTAATGATCTGTTCATTAACCTCCCATTTTCAAATAAGTCTCCCTAGACTTGGCCAGCAGAGATGCTGCTATTTCTTTCCTTGGAAACCAAGGAAATTCTCACTGCGCTGACCTTGAGGGAGACAAAACAATAAAAGGCAAAAAGATAAGGACACTAGCAATAAATTAGCTTGTTGCAACACTTTATCAGAGCTATAGGGAGTTCCAGAGCTGTTACGCAAATACACCAGGCAGAAGAACTGTCCAAATCTTAAACCCATCAAGGATCAGCTAAGAGTCACAGCTATATTGATGTTCTCTGGTGGGCCAGCATTAAAAACAGACTTCTCTGGATTCAAATTCATGACAAGGAGAGTTGCTGCTTTCAACCAGACACTGATGAGATGAAACTGTGAATTTCTAGAAATTTGTAAAAAGAAATTGAAAAGAATTCTGGAATGGACAAGCTTTTAAATGCTCTATGCCAAATAGAGAGGTAAGAAAGTATGTTATTAGGAACATGGAATTCTACAAGAAAAGTACATATATATATAAGTGAATTAGAGTTAAGGGACTAGATGACTAGATTTATTTGAATAGAATGACTAAAGATTAACTATATTCTTAACTATGATTAAAAAGAATAAGAAATTCGAGAAAATAAATACAATTAATCTAGGAGGGATGTATATTCTAAGTACTATATTATTTCATATGTTTTGTTATTATTGCTTTCCTCTCTTCTTTTTCATTTTCTTTTTTTAAAGAAAAGAAACGTATTAATATGATGATTGTTAAGGAATATTGGAACACTTTAAGAAGGATGAAATATTTTAGATATTTAAAGGTGACTGAACTCAAGAAAAATATATATAATACATATAAAAAGTTTTGAATTAGAGTTAAGGGATTAGATGACTAGATTTATTGAATAGAATGTTTAAAGATTAAATATATTTTTAACTATGATTAAAAAGAATTAGAAATTTGAGAAATAAATACTACTAAGCTAGGAGAGATATATATTTTAAGTACTATGTTATTTTCTCTATTCTGTTACAACTGCTTTCTTCTATTCTTTTGTATTTTCTTTTTGTATTTTTTTTCTCTCATTCTTTTTCTCTTCCCCTCTCTTTTTACTTTTATATTTAATACTTAAGAAACACAAAAGTGTGAGATGGCTTATATGGAAAAAATAGAATCAAGTCTGTCAACGTAAATGTAACTAATTGCTACCAGTAAAAGTACTCAGAATTTGGTGGGGGAAATAAACTAAAATAAGGACTGTAACAGGATTGATGATAAGGCAATCAAAATGAATGGAAGGAAAAGAAATGTATTAATATGATGACTCTTTTTTAGGAATATTGGAAAAAATATACTAAATTGTCAGTTATTAAAACAATAAGAATTGTATTAACGCAATGTTTGCAAAAAAGGATGTTTTTAGGGAAAGTGGAAAGTAAATAAAATTAGTATATGAAATACAGACTATAGAAATTAATTGTTAAGGACTGTTTTTACAAATGTAACCCAGACACCACACTGTTTACCAACTATTGAATGATATATGTTTGTGTAAAAAACTAATAAAAATTATAATAATAAAAAAAGAAACATGGAATTCTTGAGCTGGAATGGGACTTTGAGATCTTGGATCCTGATCTTCTGTTCCATGCAGGAATCCAAATAAAGTCAACCTGTTTTGCTTCTGCTTAAGCACCTCTAGTGAAAGACGAGCCCATCTGTGTCATTGGTTAGGATATACATAATTTATGCACACTAATAGATTTGGAAGGGACCTTGTAGGTCATCTAGTCCAACCCCCTGCTCAAGCAGGAGACCCTATATCATTTCTGACAAGTGGCTGTCCAGTCTCTTCTTTAAAGCTTCCATTGATGAAGCACCCACAACTTCTGAAGGCAAGCTGTTCCATTGGTTGATTGTTCTCACTGTCAGAAAATTTCTCCTTATTTCTAGATTGAATCTCTCCTTGATCAGTTTCCATCCATTGTTCCTTGTCTAGCCTTGGGGTGCTCCTCTCTATGACAGCCCCTCAAATATTGGAACAGTGCTATCATTTCACTCTTGGTCCTTCTTTTCTCTAGACTAGCAGTTCTTGCAACAGTTCTTCATATGTTTTATCCTCCAACTCCCTGCTATATATTTATTATATAACCACAATCCCTCATTTACTATTACCATAATAACCTTAGCCTCCCTTGGGTAGACCTGGTCCTCTTGCTTCTTTCACAGTTGTAAGAAAATGAGGATAGATGCAAAACATAGATGATCTGAGCAATGGCTAATGGAGGCAATAATTGAAGCAATACTTTATGAAACTACTTGTATCCAGTAACTAGAGTTTGGTTGATGTTCCACAGAATCTTCCATTCTCTTCCTTGCATTCCTTTAATTACTAGATTTTTATAGAGTGCTAATCCAAAGGAAGGCCAGGGCAAATCTCAAAATGGTTTGCCTTAACCTTTAAAGGTGGCATCTAGCGGAGATTGTTGGTCTCTAGACTCTTTGCATTTCCTTTTAAGTAGACAAAGCAGTTATACCACTTAAGAATATTTGTGATGACAAAGATCAGTTCTGCAACGTTTGGATTTTTTTAGTGGTGTCTACCACCAGCTTTGTAAATGGAGATGCTTTCCATAATAGGAGAACTGGCTAGAGATAGGAATCTTTTGAAAATCTGATTGATTTGATTTGTATCTTACCTTCTTTCCTGGAGATTAAGGTAGTTTATAAGGAGATCTCTCTTCTTTTTGTCCACATTATAACAGTTTGAGGTAGAATGGACTGAATTATGGTTTGTTCCATACCAAATATTTTTTCCCATCTTTAAATGAGGAGTGAAATACTGTAAGTCATAGCACCCACTTAGAAATTTTGTACATTCTGGATTTTTTTAAAAAGATACTTCTTGGAGAATTAGATTTTCTGCATTATCCAGATATTAATCCACATGCTAGCTTATCTAGCATGTGGATTAATATCTGTCATCTCCCTGCCCCCCTGAAAATAGGGGAGAGTTAGGGATTAACCTTCAATTTCCAACAGCATTTCCTTGGATTTCATCTATGTTCTTTTGGAATTTTTTTTTCTCTGTTTGCTAGCAAATTCTGTCATTTAAACCTAAGTAGAATAAAACAGTGCCATTACCTAAGCATAACCCAAACACAATTTCTGTTGGAGACACCAGTCTTCAAAATTTGGAGCAGCCCCTTTCTCTGGTTGAGCACACCTGTACTGGAGTTTGATTTAGTTTCCTTTCCCTAGCTTTATGCTGTTAAATTGAATACACATTCTGTGTGCCTGTCCATATATCCATCTAATCTATCTAATCTCTCTCATGCCTGCCTGGCTGCTTGGCTGCCTATCTATATCTATATCTATATCTATATCTATATATCTAATCTAATCTAATCTAATCTATATATCTATGTCTATGTCTATGTCTATATCTATATCTATATCTATATCTATCTATATCTATATCTATATCTATATCTATATGTATCTATGTTAACAAATGCGAGAAAAAACGAACACCAAGATATAATAAACCAGCCTGTTTAATATAAACAAGCCTATGGTTAAGAAGAATCACTAAACTTTCGTCCGGTCAAAAACTGCTGGCATCATCAGAGTTAGAATAGGAGGAGATTAGGAAGGCAGCTCATATAGCCTCCTGCCTCTGCGCCCGGCTCCTTGAGCGCATCATCGGCCCGTTGATTGTATTAATCCGTATCGTGCAGAGTTGTTCTGCATCAGACAAACTGTCTTTGACTCCACTGGTTGTTTTATGATCCTCAAGTGCTCTTTTAGAGCGTGTGCAAACACTTGGCAGGCTTGTGTTCAAGGAGCTGGGCACAGAGGCAGGAGGCTATATGAGCTGCCTTCCCGATCTCCTCCTATTCTAACTCTGATGATGCCGGCAGTTTTTGGCCGGATGAAAGCTTAGTGACTCTTCTTAACCATAGGCTTGTTTATATTAAACAGGCTGGTTTATTATATCTGGTGTTCATCTTTTCTTGTATTTGTTAACATAATGCCCAGGATTCACATTTTTAATATTTTAAAAGACACATCTATCTATCTATTTATCTTCTATGATCTATTTATCACTTTGAACAACTGATGTGTTTTTGTCCCTTTCTTTTGCAGATGAATCATTTACATCATCAAGCTGATACCCTATCTCACTGTGCCAGTATGGAGTGCGAAAATCAAACAAGAGTTTACCATTTTGTCATTGTTGGATTCCCTTACCCTCATGATCTCCGATTTCTTTTGTTTGTCTTCTTTCTACTTATCTACCTAATGACCTTCTTAGGAAACCTTCTTATCCTCTTGGCAGTGGCATTTGAACCCCAGCTGCACAAGCCCATGTATTGGTTCCTTTGCCATTTATCTCTCTTGGACATGACTGTATCCTCTGTGGTGGTACCCAAGATGGTGGCTGGATTCCTAGAAAGGGGTGGCATCATCTCTTTTGGTGGTTGTGTGACCCAGCTGTTCTTCTTTCACTTCCTGGGGTGCACTGAGTGCTTTCTTTACACTGTGATGGCTTATGACCGCTTCCTGGCCATCTGCAAGCCATTCCGCTATGGCAACATCATGAACCCCAAAGCTTGCCTCTCTCTCTCCTTGGGAACCTTGTTTGGTGGCTCTGTGCATTCCATGATACAAACCACCCTCACCTTCCACTTGCCCTATAGCCATGGCAATCAAGTAGCTTACATCTTCTGTGACATCCCAGCTGTCTTGAAATTAGCCTGCACTGACACCTCGCTCAATGAGATGGCCACCTTTGTAGACATTGGTTTCTTGGCCATGACTTGCTTCCTCCTTATCATCATCTCGTACATCTACATCATCTCAGCTATTCTCAGGATTCGTCATGCTGAAGGACGACGTCGGGCATTCTCCACTTGTGCTGCCCATCTCACAGTTGTGATGACTTACTATGTTCCCCTGGTATTCATCTATCTCCGTCCAGGATCCCGAGACCCATTGGATGGAGTGGTAGCAATCTTCTACACCACAATTACCCCACTCCTAAATCCCATCATATATACCCTTAGGAACAAAGAGATGAAAAATGCATTAAGAAAACTCTGCCTCTGGCATTTGTTGAGACCCAGTTGAGTGCCTCAGCCCTTTTCATCTAATGAAATCATTCATTTATTTTATTGGATCAGCATGGGGCAAGACTACAGCAACACAAGGTCAAGGGTAATTCATACTGTATGTTACTTGAGGATAAAGAAATGTTTTGAAGAACTAAATAATTCCTTATAATTGGGGAGGGGGGGAAAAGGAATTAGGGAACTGTGGCATTAAGAAAGGAACAAAAAAGGATAGAAGTCAGGTTCTGTTAGACCTAGAGAATCAGGACCATACATTAACTTGCATTTCCAAGGTTTATTGCTGAAGCCTATACATAAAAATCTGGTCAACTTACCTTCAGTACTGAATTGGTGTCAGAGAAGGGTCAAGGAATTAAGAGGGCTTGGACTAGAATCATTTGTGTCAATGTAACAATTCTAAGCTGATGACAAGCTTCACTCTGCTTTCCAGCTCTGCCTGCTCTTCTCCTACACATGGTTTTGGAAGTTTTTCTTTCTTGCCCACCTGCCAAGGATTTTTTAATTGTCTGAAGTATTTTATGGCAATTGACTATGCTAAATGGCAGATTATGACTCGGGATCTCCAATGTACAAATGTATTCTTATTCTCTGGATGGAGCAGTATCTAGGATCTCAAACTATTCTCCAGATGATTTTATCTGGCATCTGCTCTCACATGTATCCCACTGATGTCCTGAAGGCTGCTTTAAGCTGCTCAAGCTATTTCCCCTCTAGCTGAAACTTCTGAAAATTGACCTTTTGACCATCTTGAAAAACCAGGTTTTCCCCTTCCTTCCACGCTTCTGCCATGCATGAAATTCTAGCAATCCTTTTTCTGGGTTTGTGGTCTTTTCCTTTCTCACTGAATAATTTGCCTGCCACCATTTCTGCTTCATTAGGACAAGAAACAATCAATGGAAACTAATCAATGAGAGAAGCAACCTGGACTTAAGGAGAAACTTCCTAACAGTGAGGATAATTAACCAGTGGAACAACTTGTGAGTGCTTCGTCACTGGAGCTTTTTTTAAGAAGAGACTTGACAATCACTTGTCTGAAATGGTATAGGATCCCCTGCTTGAGTAGGGGGCTGGACTAGAAGACCTCCAAATCCAGCCTTCCATCTCCACTCTATTCTGATTATCAAAGTCATGCAATATACAATAGCCTGCTTGGAGAACAGCTCTTGAATGTAGTTTGATTTCATAAAGCTCACATTGAGTTTGTTTCAGTGAACAAGACATGTCTATTTCAGGTATTGGTATCATGGAAAGAAGACAATTTTTGCAGGTTCCTTGGTACATTTTTTTTTTAAAAAGTCAAAATTCCCCCTTTCCCCAAGAGTCACTTCTTAAGAGGAATATTTGTAAACCATCAGGAAATATTCACAAATGGAAAAAGGGGTGAATGGTGCAGATATACATGAGAAGGAAAACATTTGCTTCTCTTGTTATGAAGTAAGATGGAAAGGCTTTGTCTAGAAGCTCAGGAGATGAACAATTCATACATTTGAAGCACAAAAACTATGTAGTGATTGGCAGCATTCTCATTGCTCAGCTATTGGCCGAGGAGGACCAGCTCTAGACTTGGAAACATCACCATCTGCAAGAATAGCCAAGCGGCAAATATTGCAATGCAAACCCTGACTGTTTTGTACAGGCATGCAATATTGTGCCTCACATGTGAAAGTAAGGAGCTTGTGTTGTGATATAATGACACTATGGTCAGGATTGGTCACTTACGGTTGCAAGTGTCTTGCAAACAAAAAAATAAAGGTAACTAAAGGGCTAGAGGCTAAAATGTATGATGCACAGTTGTGGGAACTGGGAATGTCTAGTTTAACGAAGAAAAGGACTAGGGGTGACATAATAGTAGTCTTCCAATATTTGAGGGGCGGTTACAAAGAACAGGTGGATGACCTATTCTTCAGAGTACTTGAGTCAGTGAGCAAACATCCAATCACTACTTCCAGAAAACTCTATAACTGTTGATTTCATTCCAAATGAATGAATGAATGAATGTATGTGTGAATAAATACAGTATATGGACAAACAAATAAACAATTAACTCTCTTTCCATGCCATGGGTGTGTGTGATTTACAAAAGCCTGTCCCCATTGTTTCCTATAAGAAGGGATTCCATTTTTATTATCAAACTAAATAACCCTATTGGGTCATTGCATCAGAGATATTTTTTTATCTAAACCAATAAACAGAATGATCATGGGCAAGTAATGAGAACAGAAGTGAGTTCTGATTTTCTGCTGGCTTCCCCACTGACTTTGCTTGCAGAAAACGGGCAGGGAGCATGAGAAATCACCATCATGTGACTACATCTGATCGTGGAATGGGACAACTCGCCGTGGCTGACTTGCTACTGCCAACTCTCCACCACCAATTTGCCGAGACACCTTGCCGTGGGACAACTCAACACAAGATAATTGTACGGTATTCTCTTCCTCTCTTAATATTATTAGGGTGACCATCTGCCTCTGTCTCCTTTCTTAGTTTTATTAAAACAATTGGGATTATTATTATTATTATTATTACTATTAGCCAGATATTCAGACTGGATTTGGTATTTTTGTCTATCTATCAAGTCCTTACCAAAGACTGGGGCTAGACAGATCTGGATGTTTGATGGTGTTACAGATATTGTTGCAGGATGGAAGCAGTTCCTAGTAAGGTCACCTTTTGCAATTGACTACTAGCAAATTTGTCAATGCCAATGGAGTTCAAGAGGCACTACAGTTCTTTTGGGATTGCACCCAAGGCACTACTACTACTACTACTACTACTACTACTACTACTACTACTACTATTACTACTACTACTTATTATTATTATTATTATTATTATTATTATTATTATTATTATTAATATCTATTATTGGAACAGATCTAGAATACAGTTATTTCGCATTGAGTTGGCCGCAGCGAGTTGGCTCATGGTGAGTTAGCCCTGGCGAGTTGGTCATGGTGAGTTCTCCTACACCCACTGAACATGATGTTGTGGTGGTGCTTCAAAGCAGTGCAGTGCTAATGCGTGGCCATAACTTTGCCAGTAAAGCTAGTCTGAAGATCCTTAAAATTCTAATCCAACAAGAGTCATGGGTCCCAGATTCTGGATGAATTCTTTAAGTTAGCCCATTTGTGGACCTTCAACTCAAAAATTGTTGCCCTAGGTTTGAAGGTTAGAAAGAGACAAACAAATTGAAGGTTACAAACAGAAAAACAGACAGGAGAGTTTTAAATGGAATTATACTTTAAGCTACAGAGTTCTGGTTTCAAGATTTAGTCTCTTAGCCAATGGGAATTAATCAAAATGACATCTAGCTATACAGCAGAACCCTGGGAGACAGAAAGTTATATTTCCTCTTGTTCAAACAATCCTTACTGAGAATAAGAATACTGTTTTGACTTTTCCCAATTGTGCCAGATGTAAAGGAGAAAGAGGGTCAGGAGGCTTCTAAAAGATGAAATTTGCTTTCTCGTGTTTTCCTTTTGGGTTGCTGTAGCCCTAGAGAATTGGACTGTGACAGTTTAGAACATAAAAAGTCACAGACTGCATCACTTAAACACAGTGGCTAGATACAATACTGAGAGACCATTTTAGGTAAGGCTAGTATATGAGAATATAAACTTGTGATTTCAGTGGGACTACGTAAACCTGGGAAGCTGGTTTGAGATTATATTCAAAGGTGGGCTTAGGAGTGGGTGTGAGAAGGTGGACAAATTCTACTCAGTTTAAACACAGAGACTTTTAAGCTTAGACCAACTGTTCTTTGGAGGTTGGGGATTGGCTGTCACCACGATGTAAAAAAGATGTTGAGACTCTAGAAAGAGTACAAAGAAGAGCAACAAAGATGATTAGGGGACTGGGGCTAAAACATATAAGGAACGGTTGCTAGAATTGGGTATGTCTAGTTTAACGAAGAGAAGGACAAGGGGGGACATGATAGCAGTATTCCAATATCTCAGGGGCTGCCATAAAGAAGAGGGAGTCATGCTATTTTCCAAAGCACCTGAAGGCAGGACAAGAAGCAGCGAGTGGAAACTAATCAAGGAGAGAAGCAACCTAGAACTATGGAGAAACTTCCTGACAGTGAGAACAATTAATCAGTGGAACAGCCTGCCTCCAGAAGCAGTAAATGCTCCAACACTGGAAGTTTTTAAGAAGAGACTGGACAGCCATTTGTCCGAAATGGTGTAGGGTTTCCTGCCTGAGCAGGGGGTTAGACTAGATGACCTCCGAGGTCCCTTCCAACTTTACTACTACTACTATTATTATTATTTAATTTTTAACACAAGTAGAAGAACTTAAATATTCCATGTTTCCTAGCAACAAGCAATGTAACAATCCTCTATCCTCTATCCTCTACCTCTCTGTCTCGCTAGCTTGCTCGTTATCTATCTAGCTATCAAATAAATTCATAGCTTGATCATCTGTTTCAATTATTTGCCTGATTTCACAGTTCCTGCTTCCCAGATTTTGATGCCCTACAGACTGCTACAGTTTCTAGCAGATGGATCCAGATAATCAAACCAAAGTGAGTGTCTTCATCCTTGAGGGTATACCAAACACTGCCCGATTTCCCTTTCTTTTCTTTGTCATCTTTATGATCATCTACTTATTGACAGTGCTAGGGAACCTCCTCATCCTAGTCACCATTGTGATGGAACCCCATCTTCATGGTCTCCCCATGTACTTTTTTCTCTGCAATCTCTCTCTTCTGGACACCTGCCTCTCCTCAGTCACTGTGCCCCAAATCCTGGTCAGTTTCATAGCACCTAACTACAGAGTCATCTCCTTTGGAGGTTGCGTCCTTCAACTCTACGCTTTCCATTTTCTGGCTAGCACTGAATGTTTCCTTTATACTGTCATGGCTTATGACCGTTACCTTGCTATCTGCTGTCCACTGAACTATACCACATTGATGAACAGAAGAATTTCCTTGGGACTTGTAACTGGCACGTGGCTTACGGGTTCTTTTCATGCAGCAATACATACCATTCTAACTTTCCGTCTGCCTTATTGCGGTCCTAATAGGGTTAACTATTTCTTTTGTGACATACCGCCTGTGCTAAAGCTGGCTTGTGTTGATGTAACTGTGAATCATGCCCTGATAAGGATAAACATTGCTCTGGTGGGTTCCAGTTGCTTTCTACTGATATGTATTTCCTACACCTACATAGCTTCTGCTATTTTGAACATCCAGACGATGAAAGGAAGACATCGGGCCTTCTCAACCTGTAGTGCTCATCTCACTGTAGTGGTACTATATTATATCCCCGCCATTTTTATCTATATGCACCCGGCTTCAAGTTATGCCATGTATGGGATGTTAGCAGTGTTCTACGCCATCATCACTCCTATGTTGAACCCATTCATATACACACTGAGGAATAAGGAAGTAAAAAGGGCTTTGAGGAAATTGATTGTTGGACACCTGATTTCTGAAAAAAGATAAGTTTGGGGTACTAAAATCAGAAATCCAAATCCTTTCTCACCTTGTTGAAATTATTTGATGTATGTTGTTTTTCATGATTAATTTTTCATTAGTGATATACTGAGCATTAACCATACAACCACAATAAATGTTTTGTTTATATATTTCTTTATTGTTTTTTTTGTTTTCTCCTTTTGTTTAATTGTTTGCTCTTCTTTTTCTTTTAAAAATGATTAATAATTTTTTTTAAAAAAAAGATAGGATGGGCAACTGAGTTGAGAAGTTAGATTAGAGAGAATAAGAATCACCTAGTGTTTTATTCTCTATCATGATAATCCAAAGTCACTACTTTTCCATCCAGGGTAAGATAGATAGATAGATAGATAGATAGATAGATAGATAGATAGATAGATAGATAGATAGATAGAGAGAGAGAGAGAGAGATGGAGGAAGGGAGAGAGAGAGAGAGAGAGAGAGAGAGAGGAAGGAAGGAAGGAAGGAAGGAAAAGAAAGAAAGAAAGAAAGAAAGAAAGAAAGAAAGAAAGAAAGAGAAAACATGGATTATTGTTAGTGTCAAATATCATCTAATCCACGTAATGGATGCAAAGAATTTTCAACCTAAATGTCATTTGGGCTTCTGAATCACCAGGACTGCTAGACAGACAGATGAAAAGAGCGTCCACTTTGATTATTGCTTATTATATTAAATCAACTTTTTCCTGTATTTTATTTTGCTGATCATCCATCCAATTGGTAGATGATTTAATAAATAAATTAAGTTAAACAAGAAGATGCTGAGTTAGACAAGGTAAATGCTGAGGTCCTTTGGTTTTCAAACATCTCAAAAGACAAACAACCTAACTCTTTACACGTGTGATAGGGTTGCTAAGAATCCAATATGTGTCATTTATTTCTTATTGCAACAGTTCTTATTGCATCAGTATAGATTGCTGATACATAATGTTCCAATGATGTACATAATATTGATAATTGATGATTTGCTTGTCAGAAGCTGGCTGGAAAGATTGCAAATGGCAATCACATAACCCTAGGATGTTCCAACTGTCATAAATGCATGCTAGTTGCCAATGGCTGAATTCTGATTACGTGGAGATGCTGTGACAATTGTAGGTCCAGTTGTAAGTCTTTCTTTAGTGCAGTGTTTCTCAACCTTGACAATTTTAAGGCATGTGGACTTCAACTCCCAGAATTCCACAGCCAGCATTGCTGGCTGTGGAATTCTGGGAGTTGAAGTCCACATGCCTTAAAATTGTCAAGGTTGAGAAACACTGCTTTAGTGGCTTTGTAACTTTGAACAGTTGCTAAATGAATGGTTGTAAATCAAGAACTACCTGTATCTCTAAAATATAGTAACCCAAAGGCACTGTTTTTTCCTCGCCCCATGCCAAAGGTGGTAGCTGCATTTCCCAATGAAGCTGGATGCTCATTTTTTTTTCATCTCCAAAGTGGGACTCTAAGCCTGTATTAGGCTGTTTGGTTACAGATGTTACATGATACATTTTCTCCTGTCCTCAGCATATGCTCCTCAGCCAGCCAGCTCATTATCAGATATTTCATTAGCAGCAGAGAAATCCATAAGGGGATGAACTCTATCTGGTGTGTGATGCTCATGAAGCAGGTAGTGTGACCTCCAATGGATACAACTGAAGGCTGAATGCACTTTTCTCTGGGGATTAAATTCTGGACTGTATTTGTCATACCCCTGCTCTTTTTTTGCTTGTTATTGTGAAGATGTGGGTGCCTAAAGGCAATTAGCAGAATGTAATGTTTTAGATGGGTCCTTGGTTCTACTTCGGTTTCTGCCAAACAGAAGCTGGTCAGGGCCCTGAAGTCTTATGGTGCAAAGGTTGGGGTAGTCTAACATAGTGCTTCTCAACCTTGATGACTTTAAGATGTGTGGACTTCAACTCCCAGAATTTGCGAGTCAGCCTTCTGGTTGAATAATTCTGTGAGTTGAAGTCCACACATCTTAAAGTCATTAAGGTTGAGAAACACTGCTCTAAATGATTAACAGAGCTACAGGTAATGTTGGAATCTTATTATTGTTCAGATTTGCTTATGTGGATTCTTAGACCCAGCAAGATTAGATAATACATGTTGGGTTCCTACAACACATTAAACATAGAGCTTTGTCCCTCACACTTGTGATATAAGGCCTCTAGGGCAGTGTTTCTCAATCTTGACAATTTTAAGGCATGTGGACTTCAACTCCCAGAATTCCACAGCCAGCAATGCTGGCTGTGGAATTCTGGGAGCTGAAGTCCACATGCCTTAAAATTGTCAAGGTTGAGAAACACTGCTCTAGGGGAAGTCTTTACTACGTTTGAAGAAGGACACTGTCAAACTGAAGCATATCCAGAACAAAAGGGAAGATCCAGGGTTTTCCACTGGGCAACTTCAAGATGTAAGACTTCAACTCCTAGAATCCCCCAGGCAGCATCCCCACTCAGGAATTGTTAGAGTTGAAGTCTACACATCTTAAAATTGGGGAGGTTGAGAAACATTACTGTAACTAGACCCTAGAGAGCTTTTATTGCAGCAACACAGCCTAATTAGCCAGCACTTACTTGAGAGACCTGAAAGCAATTAGTGTTGAAGGAAATCAAGAATGGCCAGGTAGAGTTAGGCCACTGGAGAGTTGGCGTGCAATTTTAATGAGCTCCATTGAGCATTGGAAAGTAATGTAGTAGTAGTTTGCCGTAGCAACTGGGAAATCAAAGTAAGATGCTTGCATTAGTTTTAATGCTTTTAATATTGACCTGTAGAAATGTAATAGCCATTCTCTTGGCACCCTAACTGTAGACCTTTTGGAGTGATTGATTGATTGATTGGTTCAATTTACATCCTTCCTCACCTAGAGATCTCTTTTGAATTTAAGTTTCCAACAGCATCCCTGGCTTGAAGTCATCTGTGATCATCCATGGTTGAGAGTGGATTTTGAACTTGGGTCTCTCTAGGTCTACTAAAACAACCTCACTGGAGAAGTATATGAGCTCCTCTGCCATTTGAAATGACAGGTTTTGCTTCCCCTATGGAAACTGGATGATCATAGGTCAGAGATGGTATAGGGGAACCTGCATTAACTTCCTAACTTTTCAATGGTCTTCAAGAGCAGCTCATGTAGAGTGCCTTGTGGTAGACCAACCAGGAAGTGACTAAGGCAACAGTAGCTATGAGTAATTGATCCCCAAAATGAATCCGACTTCAGCTACAGCTGTCACCTGTTCCAGATATATCCCTCTGCTGCCATCTACTGATCCCTGTAATGTTTAATGTGTTCAACAGCTCTTCAGTTATTGATTTTGTGACTTGGTAGCAAAGGAATCAGCAAGGAAATTTTAGAATAGAATAATAGAATAGAATAGAGTTTTGAAATAGAATAGAATAGAATAGAGATTTGAAATAGAATAGAATAGAATAGAATAGAGTAGAAGAATAGAATAGAATAATTGGAAGGGACCTTGGAGGTCATCTAGTCCAACCTCCTGCTCAGGCAGGAAACCTTCTACCATTTCAGACAAATGGCTGTCCAATCTCTTCTTAAAAACCTCCAGTGTTGGAGCATTCACAATTTCTGGAGGAAAGTTGTTCCACTGATTAATTGTTCTGACTGTCAGGACATTTCTTCTTAGTTCCAAATTGCTTCTATCTTTGATTAGTTTCCATCCATTGCTTCTTGTCCTACCCTCAAGTCCTTTGGAGAATAGCTTGACTCCCTCTTTTTTGTAGCAACCTCTGAGATATTGGAACACTGCTACCATGTCCTCCCTAGTCCTTCTCTTCATTAAACTAGACATACCCAATTCTAGAAACCATTCTTTATATGTTTTAGCCTCCAGTCCCTAATCCTCTTAGTTGCTCTTCTCTGCACTCTTTCTAGAGTCTCAACATCTTTTTTTACATCGTGGTGACCAAAACTGGATGCAGTATTCCAAGTGTGGCCTTACCAAGATCACTTCACGTGATCTTGATTCTATCCCTCTGTTAATGCAGCCTAGGACTGTGTTGGCTTTTTTGGCAGCTGCAGCATACAACTGGCTCATAGTTATGTGATTGTTCACTAGGAGTCCAATATCCCGCTCACAGTTACAACTGTTTGGCAAGGTACCACATATAGTGTACCTGTGTATTTGGTCAGGCAGTGTTAGAATCCAATTAAATGTAAATATATATATAAAAAATATATAGCAACATACACTATTTCCACCCTGTTGATATGTACAGTACAGTGTCAAGATGTGTGGCTTGACAGGGTGAGCATGTATCATGATGGTGCAATGTTACTTCCAGCATTCCCCCCCTTAGAAAAGAATATATGTAGTTGAGTGTTGATACTTTTGATATCTTCTGAACTTGGTTGTTTTCTTGCAGATGTTTCATTATCCAACTAGTGTGTGGCAGCAGCTTAAAAAGCTAATACAATCCTGGGTTGTATAAACTGAGGCATAGAATCAAAATAACACAAAGTATTAGTACTGCTTTATAAAGCCTTAGTAAGGCCACACCTGGAATACTGCATCCAATTTTGGTCACCACATTACAAAAAAGATACTGAGACTTTGGAAAAGTGCAAAGGAGAGCAACTAAGATGATCAAAGGCCTGGAGACTAAAATGTATGAAGAACGGTTGCAGGATTTGGGTATGGCCAGTCCAGAGAAAAGAAAGACTAGGGGTGACACGATAGCAGTGTTCCAGGTTTTGAGGAGCTGGCACAAAGAAGAAGGGTTCAACTTATTTTCCAAAGTACCTGAAGGCAGGACAAGAAAGAATGGATGGAAACTAATCAAGGAGAGAGGCAACCTGGAATCAAGGAGAAACTTCCTAACAGTGAGGACAATTAATCAGTGGAACCGTTTGCCTTCAGAAGTTGTGGGTGCTCCATCACTGGAGGTTTTTAAGAAAAGTCTGAACAGCCACTTATCTCAAATGGTATAGGGTCTCTTGCTTGAGCAGGGGGTTGGACTAGAAGACCTCCAAGGTCCCTTCCAGTTCTGTTCTGATTGAAACCAGGTAACATTATTGGTGCTGTTGATGTTACCGATATTATCTAGTTGGGGAATGAGCTTATCTACAAGAAATCAACCAAGTCCAGAGAATACCAAGGGCGCAACATTTCCCCCCTTGTTCTCCCCTGCCAACACCCCTTTGCTTCCCCTTCCCTTTCCCTCTCAGTTTCAAGTTGACTTAGAAAAGGAAAGAATATTGGAGTGGTGTCCAAGATGTCAAGGGATACATGTATTGTTTATGCACTGCTTTTCATCTCACAATCCCCTCTTCCTGCCCTGCATCCTCCCCACTTCCATGTCACCCCAGAGGCAGTGGTTCTCAACCTGTGGGTTGGGACCCCATTTGGGGTCGAACGACCATTTCACGGGGGTCGCCAAACAACGCAGTCCGCCATTTTTTTCAACCGGTCGTAGCTGTGAGGACTACTCAACTGGTGCAGCACCGTTTGCAGAATGGGATATAGAATCCAAGAGAGTCTATTCTATTGGCTTTCAAAAGCCAATAGGAATTGTCCAGGCTGTCTCTGCCCTGCTGAGCCCGCCAAAAGTCCCATTCTGCAAACGGTGCTGCACCAGTTGAGTAGTCCTCGACTTATGACCGGTTGAGTAGTCCTCGACTTACGACCGGTTGGGGGTCGCGGCATTAAAAAGGTTGAGACCACTGCCCCAGAGGAAGATTTCAAATTATGGCTTTTGACTTAGATAATCATTGCAAAGTGGGTCCCACTGAGAAGTGGAACATGGAGCCCAATGCGTGTGGATTCAGCTGCCTATCCTTAATGGGCTTTTTGACCTGAAACCCTTTTATGGACTTTTTGCTGACCATGGATTAAAAATGAACTGGATTTACTGCTTACTAAGGGAAGAACATGGGAAGAAAAAAGCTATGTTATATAATTTGGAAGGGAAGAAGTGATTTTAAACTATCTCTATAATTGCTGTGAAGAAGATTGGAAGCTGCTTCCTTAGCTCTCTGTTTTCTTTTTCTATTTTGTGTCTTTTGTTGCTTTAAACTTTTTTCTTTTTTTTTCTAACTTTTTATTATTATTTTTATCTTTCTAACTTGGTAAAAAAAGATTTAATACAATCACTGGGATTCCCTCCCTCTTCTTTCTCTCCCCCCTTGCAAATAAAATAATTGTTTCCTATAGATGTCACGTAACCACATCCTTTGTTACACCCAAGTCAGAACGCAATGAGAAATGGTGGTTGTTCAATTTCACATTTTTGATGCAAGTTGTAGTCAAAGCAAGAACATTCAGGCATGGATTCCTGGTTATTTTTCTTCTGTTTTAATTTCAATTGTAAGTTTATCTCTTGAAAAAATAGGAGAGGAGGAGGAGGAGGAGAAAGAGAGGGACAAGAAGGAGAAGGCAAAAAAGAAAAAAGAGAAAGATGAGGAGAAGAAAGAAAAGAAGAAGGAGAAAGAGGAGGAAAAAAGAAGAAAGCAGAGGAGAAGGAGAAGGAGAAGGAAGGAGGGCAGTTTTGATTATTATTTATACCATAAATTGGCTATTTAGATGTTGATGGACACAGGAATGCTGTTTAAGTCTATTTTTTAATTCAGAAATTTTAAAGTTCACTATTAATTAATAAAAGTATCAGTGGCTGTCTTTATGTATGTATGTATGTATGGATGGATGGATGGATGGAAGGATGGAAGGATGGAAAGATGGATGGAAGGATAGAAAGTAGAAAGAAAAGAAGAAAAGGAGGAAATGAGAAAGGGAAAAGGAAGGAAGGAAGGAAGGAGGAAGTATGGAAGGAAGGAAGGAAGAAAGGAAGGAAGGAAGGAGGAACTATGGAAGGAAGGAAGGAAGGAAAGAAAGAAGAAAGGAAGGAAGGAAGGAAGGAAGGAAGGAAGGAAGGAAGGAAGGAGGAAGTATGGAAGGAAGGAAGGAAGGAAAGAAGAAAGGAAGGAAGGAAGGAAGGAAAGAAAGAAAGAAGGAAGTTGTATCAAATCTGTTGCAAATAACATGTTTTCCAGCATTTAGCCGTGATTGTTTTCTGTCAAAGCAATGCTTGCTGTGTTCATTCGACATAAATCTCAACCTTACCTTGAAATCATGTCTCTGCAGTCTGGATTTCCATTTCCCAAGTGACACAGACACCGGTGTATCAGGACCTCAAGGAAGGAGACAGGGTCACTATCACTTGTAAGAACAATGCTGCCTACAGTTATTTCCATTGGTACAGGCAAGTGCCCAGAATGCCACTCTCCTACCTCTTGTCCATAACTTCCAGTAAGAACATCACTGAAAAAGGATACACAGCAGAGTACCTGGATAACGGTCAGAGAAGTTGCCTCCACCTTCCCAGCTCTTTGCTTCAAGACTCAGGAACCTATTTTTGTGCTGTGAATGCACAGCGATTCAGGAAGTCACAAACCCACAATCAAAACTTGAGTGACTCTGAAGCTTCCTCTATATCTTAACTAAGTTGCCCCATTTTTCTTAGCTTAATCAATAAGGTTGGGACAACTGCTTTAAGTGAAACCCTTAAGGTAGTGGTGGCGAACCTATGGCAAGGGTGCCAGAGGTGGCACTCAGAGCCCTCTCTGTGGGCATACGCACCATCGCTTGAGTGCTACGCCTTCAGCTGGGTTTTATAAAACCTTTTCGCTTTAGGCCTCGGCCGCTGTGTGCAAAAAAAAAAAAAAAAAAGGTTCAATCAGTCAGTCAATTTCAACTTCTTGCGGGGAAAAAAAAGATCTTGCAAAGTTGGAATTGATTGATTGAACTTTTTAGACCCACCCAGTCTACCGTTACCACTGCAGCCACGCCCACCCAATGGACCACACCCACCTGCCACCTGACGATGCATAAATGGGTTTTGGGTTGCAGTTTGGGCATTCGGTCTCTAAAAAGTTCGCCATCACTTAAGGTCTAGATTATCTGAAATTCTCTCCCACATCCAAAGACATGTAAAGACAATTTACTTGCATGGTAGTCAAGAACTTACTCATTATTATGATTCCTGCACCCCTTCTTTGTCAGCCAGAATATTTTGGGAATGAGTTTAATGATCCTTTAGAAGAGCATTAAACCCACTTTTTTTTTTTAGAAAAAGGATTCACTGTGTATTAATGAAGAACGGTTGCAGAATTTGGGTATGGCCAGTCTAGAGAAAACAAGGCCTGGAGGGTGGACAAGATAGCAATATTTCAGTATTTGTTAGGTTGCCACAAGGAGGAGGGGGTCAATTTATTTTACAAAGCACCAGAAGGCAAGGCAAGAAACAACGGATGGAAACTAATCAAGGAGAGAAGCAACCTGGAATTAAGGAGAAACCTAATTGCCATCAGAAGTTGTGGGCACTCCATCACTGCAGGTTTTAAGAAGAAGCTAGACAGTCATTTGTCTGAGATGGTACTATAGGTTCTCCTGCTTGAGCAGGGGGCTGGACTAGAAGACCTCTAAAGTATTTTCCTGCTCAATTCTGATTTTATGGGATTAGTTTTGCTATCTTTGAGTCAATCTTGACTGCCTGGGCAAATCCATGCATTTGCTTGATGGTATTTTCCAAAATGACTTTTGCCTTCTTCCTAGGGTTGAGAGAGAGTGAGCAACCCAAAGACAGCCCCAGCCAATTTTGTGCCTAAGAGAAGATTAACACTCTCCCCATATCTGGCATGATGCCTTCACCACTACATAAAACTGGTTCTCCAACGTTACCAGATACTTTAAACCAAGTACAAAAAGCACCCAACCACAGTTTTCCTTTCGCATCCCTACCTGATTGGTGCTTGATATTTTTTGTTCTGCCTTTAGCATATAATGCTTGGATGAGGGGGAAAACTATTGAAATTCATTCATCTCTTTCCTTAACTTATTCCATCTAAAAACTCTAAAGACATTATTATTCTCCATTCTTATCAGTGAGGCAGAATAAGGACTGGCCATCTATGTAGCACAATTTATGATGGCATCTTTTTCAGCTTGGTCAAGGGCTAGAAAAAAAAAAACCACAATCTGGTTGTGCCCCTAAAGAAACTGGAGAGGTTCAAAGAAGAGCAACAAGGAAGATCTGGGGACTTCTAAATTCTAAGAAGAGAGATTGAAAGGTTTGGGTATGTTTAGCTTTGAAAAAAGAGAAATGGGGCATAAGATGGTGTTTTTCAAATTCCTAAAAGATACACAAGGTCTATGTGGAGAAAAGCAAAGTTTCTGTTCCAAGAACAGAACAAACCAAACCAAACTGAATCAATACTTATTGATTATTGGCAGTTCACTCCCTTCTATCCAGGACATGGCATGTAAGCACTGCTTGAGCAGGGTCCACAAGATTGTCTAGGACAGTGGTTCTCAACCTTTTTAATGCCGCGACCCCCAACCGGTCGTAAGTCGAGGACTACTCAACCGGTGCAGCACCGTTTGCAGAATGGGACTTTTGGCGGGCTCAGCAGGGCAGAGACAGCCTGGACAATTCCTATTGGCTTTTGAAAGCCAATAGAATTAGACTCTATTCAAGAGAGTCTATTCTATTGGCTTTCAAAAGCCAATAGAATAAAAGGGAGTAGCACAGCTAAGGAAAAGGGGGAAAAAAATGGCGGACTGCGTTGTTTGGCGACCCCCGTGAAATGGTCGTTTGAGCCCAAATGGGGTCCCGACCCACAGGTTGAGAACCACTGGTCTAGGACACTACACATTCTCTTCATGACCTGTTTTCCTTGGGGGGGGGGTTTCTTGGTATCCGAAGCAGAACGTCCAGATTAAGTCACAGTTTTGTCCTTTTAACCTTTTGAACCCTCAACCCTCTTTTGTTATGTGTTCAAAATGGACAGTGATTAATATTTATATGAATTTATATGTAAGGGTGTAGGTATATACATATGTATGTATATAGCGTGTCTATATGTGTGTTTTATGTGTGTACACTTTTGAGAGTAGGTAACAGAATTTCATTTTTAATGTGTGCCAGGATGCCCACAGTAAAAAAATTACAATAAAGATTACCTTTTCTTCTTACTTGGTCCTTCCTTTCTTCCTCCCTCCTTCCCTCCCTTCCTTTTCTCTGACCCTCCCTCCCTTTCCTCCCTCTCTCCTTCCCTCCCTTCCATTTCTCTGATCCTTCCTTCCTTCCTTCCTTCCTTCCTTCCTTCCTTCCTTCCTTCCTTCCTTCCTTCCTTCCTTCCTTCCTTATCTGCTTTACCTTCATTTTCATTTCTTATCTGCTTTACCTTCATTTTCATTTCTTATCTGCTTTACCTTCATTTCCATTTTACAGGCCTTTCCCCCACTGGTTAAACTGAAGTTCTTTCCATCCATCCCAAGTCAACAGAAGGCTGTTCTTGATTTATTTATAAGTGACCTATATTCACTGATTAGAGCAATTAGAAATAAATCAGTCAATCAGTCAGCTCATCAGTCATCTACCTGACCATAACATTTTCTATCCTTACTGTTAATCTGTCTCCTATTCTAGACTAGGTCTACCTGGAAAAGGTTTTATAGCTTCTTTTCATGAAGTCTTGTTTCTTCTCCCCACTAGATGGCAATAAGAAGCTCTGGAGTCTGAGAAGAACTTCATTGAGAAGACTCACCAATGCCCATGAGAAAAGTTCTTGTTTATAGTACTGATTTTCTAGGAAGAAGGTAGCCCATTCAAGACCATCTGTGCCTTCCAGGTTGGTTTGGAGAACTTCTCTAATTCTCTGGGGAATCTTATTTGGGTTATTTTCTCTGCGTAAGTAAAGGAAACTCTTGAGGAAAAACTTGGAAGAATGAAAGGAATTCTACAAAAGTGGAAGGATGCCTTGATTCTCACCATGGACGAATGGTTCCAAAAGCTGATGGAATTAGCAGAGATGGCCAAATTGAATGTGCTCATAAAGGAAAAGAGCATAAGTATTTTTGTTTCTACTTGGAAACCACTTCTGGACTTTGTGCTTGAGGTGAAAAAAAATGATATTATGACTTTGGGTTTTACCGATTAGACTGATTTGCCGAAACAGAAATGGCCAGTGCATACTACTATAGAAATGTAAAAAGTTGAGATTTGATTTTAATGTCTGATTTTACTGCAACAGAGTTGGAAGTCAATGCCTTTTGTTTCTTCCCCTCTCCTTCTTCACACTTTTTTCATTTTCCCTTTCTCTAATGTTGTCCCCTACAATTTGCTTTTGTAATTTCATATTTCATGTTATAAATGAATAAAACTATTTTTTAAAAAAAGGAAATCTATATAACTGTGTGAAATTTTAGAAAAAGGTCAACGAGGCTGAAAGAGAATGACTTTAGTTATCTCCATTGGATGCAGCACTGATAATAAATTTCTTATTTAACAATTATCACTGTTCTCATTCATGGTTGAAATACTGACATATGTTCTGTGCAGTGAATTGTTCATATTAGAAAACAACAGTACTATTTTGGCTTGTTTCCTCAAGGTTGTGAGTTAAGACATAAATTCTGTGATCTGGGATTGTGGTATGCTTCTCCTTTGATCTACATGAATCAAAGCAGATATGAGCAGGTCTTCAATCTTCAGAAGGTCTGAGCATAAAACACGCACAAGACTGTGTATGCGCTTTCACATTTCCTGTGTTTCTGGTGACAGAGTTGTCCTGCCTATTGTGGAGAAAAAAGAATGGGAAATCTGGGAGGCAAGATCGTTGCCTTACTGCTGGCCATCTCCACAGGTATTCTTTTTATCTTATGTTTTTATTTATTGATGGAAATAATGTTTATGCTTACTTTTTTGGGGAGTAAAGCCTCAGAAAGGTAGTTTAGGAGTTGAATTTTTAAAAAGTTATGATAAGAAAGTCTGCAAAAGTGTTAATGAGAAAATTAATTTCTTTAAATATTTAAGAGCGTAAAGGAAGAATTGCAAACATTAAATGATAATTGCTCCTTTGAAAATTCTAAAGAATTGGCTAACTAAATTTGTTGGTGGAGTCCCCCTTTCCCTCCCCTCCCCTCCCCTTCCTTCCTTCCTTCCTTCCTTCCTTCCTTCCTTCCTTCCTTCCTCCCTCCCTCCCTCCCTCCCTCCCTCCCTCCCTCCCTCCATCATTTTTCCTAATGTTTCCATTCCCTTCCAGTTGTATCAGGTCAACCTACTGTCACCCAGGATCACCAATTTCTTTCAGTTAAGGAAGGAGACTCCATCCAGCTGAACTGCTCCTATCAGGAAACAGGATACTCTCTTCAGTGGTATAAGCAATATCCAGGAGACCGGCCAGAATTCATGATGTTCCTGATTACATCGGGGACCGAAGAAAAGGATCATTTTGAAATGATTCTGGAGGCAGATAAGAAGATGACTTCTTTGCATCTGAAGAACACTCAGCTTAAGGATTCAGTTGTCTATTTCTGTGCATGGAGCACAGTGCTAGAAAGATACCCGCTGGTTGTCATCAAAGATGTAGGGCAAGCAAGGAGAAGATGTGTATTTGCCCTCTGAAGAAAGATCAGGAGAACTCTATGAGCTAAAGCATCACAACCAAAGTCATGCTTATTTTTTTAGCTGATATATATTCTCCCTTTGTTGGCCTCTTTGTAAGTCATCTGCAAATTGCAGCAGAATCCCCAAGATAAGGAAAAAGGTCCAAATGTTCTATGGAATCTGAATGACCCCCATGTCTTTCTCTCCCAGGTGTCCAATGTCAGGACCGAGTGGATCAGAAGCCTGTAGAAATCATCAAAGAAGGAGATGATGCCGTCATCATCTGTCAGTTCAACTCCAGCACTGTCTATGGCATGCATTGGTACAGGCAATATCCAGGAGAAGCCCTTGGATTTCTCCTAACGGTTACATCGGTGAAATGGGAGAAAAAGGGCTACTTCAGAGCTTCTTTTGATAGGAAGAAGAAAGAGAGTCATTTCAGCATCCCAAAGGTGCAGATGGAAGATGCGGCTGTCTATTTCTGCGGGACCCAAGATCACAGTAACACAGAGGCACCTGCTGCCTGTACAAAAACCCTCTAAAGTGAAGTAATTCTGTGCACACCTCAGCTGTGAAATTGGGATGCAGAGTTGGATCTACTGACCCAGAGCAAGCTATGTGTGTGTATCACCTGCATTAGTGTCAGTCGTAAAGTGAAAAAAGAAACATTCATGGTGTTGCAAGGGAGAGGAAAAAATGATATATCCAAGATGTGCATTCCCACCATTTGCAAAGCTCAATTACTTTGGGGTTCCTTGTGGATAGAAACTACATCCTCATTTGCCAAGCCAAAATATTGGCCATGGAATTAATCTACAAATAGTGGGAAGTCATGTTGATTATTGATGGGGCTATTACTTTCTGTTTTTTCTTTATCATTTGAAGTGTCTTCCATTGGGTGTTGGTCACTGCTGTTTCTTTACATTGTGTTGAAAGAAAAATCTTCATCAGGGTCCAATCCAAGCCAGGAATAAACAAAATGGGGACTGCTTAGGAAAGAAGGTTCAGTTTATTTAGATGCCAGAAACTTCAGTGACACAGCATGTTTCTGGGTAGGCTGACAAAACGGAGCTGGGAGTGGTGGTTTTTTATACCTTCTTGGGCTTTTGTGTTTAGAGTTGTTCCTGTTCCTGTGGCTTTGTATTTGAGGTCCTTCCTGTTCCTGTGCAATGAACTTTGACCTGAGCTTCCGTGTGCCCTTTTGGTATTCTAATGGTGGTGGGTTAATCCTATTGTGTCCTAAAGTTCATGCCTTTAGATTTTGGGTGGGAGATGTAGATTTTAGGGGTCTTTGTCTTTCTAATCCCATCTGCTCCATGCTTCCTGGCCCAGTCTTCGTGAATAGGATGATCAAATCTGCATTTCTACAGAGCTAGCCTGCTCAGTTTCTGCCTGGGGGAGAGGGAGAAGTTTCTGCCTTTTAAGATTTTCTCCCATTATTCCTTTGGAAAAATATAAAATATTTTGCCTTTTTTAAAATATCCCCCAAAATATTTCCTTCTCTGAGGGGGTGTGCTGAGTTCCTACAATTGCTTAGAGGTTTTTTTTTTTTTTGAGATTGAAGAGGTTTATAACTTTTCCAAAGAAGTCAACACAATTATCTTACAGTAGGGTCAATGAAAATCAGATTGTTGTTGTTAGTTGTGAAGTCATGTCCGACCCATTGTGACCCCATGGACAACGTTCCTCCAGGCCTTCCTGTCCTCTACCATCTTCTGGAGTCCATTTAAGCTCACGCCTACTGCTTCAGTGACTCCATCCAGCCATCTCATTCTCTGTCGTCCCCTTCTTCTATTGCCCTCCATCTTTCCCAGCATTAGGCTCTTCTCCAGTGAGTCCTTCCTTCTCATTAGGTGGCCACACTACTTGAGTTTCAACTTCAGGATCTGGCCTTCTAAAGAGCAGCCAGGGTTGATCTCCTCTAGGACTGACCGGTTTGATCGCCTTGCAGTCCAGGGGACTCGCAGGAGTCTTCTCCAGCACCATAGTTCAAAGGCCTCAATTTTTGGTGCTCAGCTTTTCTTATGGTCCAACTTTCACAGCCATACATTGCAACTGGGAAAACCATGGCCTTGATTATACGTACTTTTGTTGGCAGGGTGATGTCTCTGCTTTTTAGTATGCTGTCTAGATTTGCTATAGCTTTCCTCTCCAGGAGCAAGCATCTTTTAATTTCTTGACTGCAGTCCCCATCTGCGGTGATCTTGGAGCCCAGGAAGATAAAATCTGTCACTACCTCCATTTCTTCCCCATCTATTTGCTAGGAATTGAGAGGGCCAGATGCCATGATCTTGGTTTTCTTAATGTGAAAATCAGATGATGTTATCTAAAGTTCTCACATAGCTTGCCTTTGTTGATTACCACTCAAGATGTGTTGGGCTACTGCTTCTTAATTCTCCACTACCCATGACAGAGCTAATAATAATTGAACAATTATTGAGAATAATGGACTCTGCATGTCCCTGATTAGGAATGGCTAAATATTTATCTACACATCTCATGTGGAAATAATTTAAATTATCTGCCCTTCCTTAAACAACCTGGAAATTGAGAATTTTATGAAACATATTTTGTAGGTGAAATTTGACAGCACTCTTCCACAGAAGAGAATTCACGTATGCTCAGTTTGAGAAAAAAATTCCGAAAAGTCTTGCTATCGTCTTCTCGAATTTGACTCTGTTTGATTCAGCATCATTTACGTTCACTTTGTTGTAGTGCTAAATAAAACACAGCATGTCAATTAAATTTATATCCTGCAAATTTCCATGTGGCCTCATCCAAGCTGGGCTGATCCTGGTTAGGTGGTAGCAAATCCAATCGACCAAAATTATTTGGGGCTGCCACTTTCTGCAACAGTTACTGCATTGTCTCAGTAGCTCCTCCAAGGTAAATTATGACTATTTGTAGTTTTCTCACTAGATGGCACTCATTTTGCTTTCGTTCCTAACAGAGGGAGGTTTGGTTTTTCTCTCCCCCCCCAGCTTGGTTAACCACAAGTCCTTTTTTAAAAAAGAAAAATCATTAGATGGGGAAAGCAAAGAGCAGCCTTGAAAACAGAGAAAGTGACTCAGTTTGAGAAGGGAGACGCTGCATTATTGCCTTCTCTATTTCTCTTGGAAAGGGGAGACACCAGCCAAAGCATGAATACTTTTAAAACATTCTCAAGAATTTGGAAAGCTGAATGGAGGACACTTCTCACTGGATTGTTTATTCTGTGTAAGTGAAAATGTTCAAGAATTATGATGAGATTTCTATTCGAGCTTTATTTTGTACAGCTCAAGGAAGCATAGATGATGTTCCCACCTGCCTATTTTCCTCATAACGACAATCCTGGGAGCTGGGTTGGGCTGACAAAAGAGACTGGAGCAAAGTACCCCAGTCAGATTTGATGTTAAAGAAGGACTAGAACTTACCTTCTCCTGCCATCTAGCCTTGTTCCTTAACCACTTATCAAACTGGGTGTGTTGGAAAGCAGATGAGAGCTGTTCCTGGCCCTATCCCAAACTATGGCAAAGCAAAGAATAAGGGAGACCTTGGTGCTCTCTGAACTTGGTTGTTTTCTTCCTATGAAACCATCTCTCCTTTCCTTTCCTTCTCAAAAGTGTCCCATCAGATTCATGCTAAAGGAGGAAGAGAACTCACCATCTCTCACTTTTTTAATTCCATTCCTTAATAACCACAAGAAACTGGCTCTCTTGGAAAGAACATGAGAGCTGTTCCTAGCCCTAACCCGAACCATGGCAAGCAAAGAGTAAGGAATTTGTGTTTCTGCAATTGTTTCCTAGTTTCCTCTTCCTCCTGATGGTCAGTATGTGGGAATGCAGCATCTTACTTGTAGAGCCGTGTCTCCTTTTCTTTCCTTCTCAGCCTGCAGCTTGGATGCCCAAGTTTTCCAAACACCTGAAAACCTGGAAGTTCAAGAAGGAAGCCTTTTCATTCTGAAGTGCAACTATACCAGCCAATATCAACCCTATTTCTGGTACCATCAGCTGCCTGGGGCCCATCCATCTCTAATCCTATCTATATATTCTCAAGCAAGCCAGAATAATAAAGGTTTTGTGACAAAGTATTTGGACAATGGGAAAGAAAGCCAGCTGCATCGCCCTACAGCTCAGCTGCAGGATTCAGGAAACTATTTCTGTGCTGTACAAGACACAGTGATGTAGGAAGGAGACACCTCCTAACCTAAACCTCAGCTCTTCTGAAGTTTCATAGGTGTCTGTATTCTTTGGTGTTCCTCTGGCGCACGTGTTCCTCTGGTCTGGTTGGTGGAGATCAAAGCAGAAGAGTTGGGCTAGAACAAATACCAATTTTTGTGTGAACAAGGATTGAGAGTCCATGTAGGAAATGACCAGGCTGTGCCCAAGGGAGGGATCTAATACATCATCCATCTTAGGTCCTTTTGTGTCCACAAGAATCTTCAGAATTCAGGAAACTACTTCTGTGCTGTAGTGGCAAAGTGCTGTAAGAAAAAGCACTTTCTACCCGAAACCCCAGTTCTTCTGAAGTTTTATAGGTGTCTATATTCTCTAAGCTTCACTGGAGCATATTAGAATAGGATAGGATAGGATAGGATAGGACAGGACAATGGTGGCGAACCTATGGCATATGTGCCAGAGGCGGCACTCAGAGCCCTCTCTGTGGGCACGCGTGCTGTCGCCCCAGCCCTACCTCTCCCTGCAGCCCCCTCCTCACCAGCATCCCCCCCTGGAGGAGAGTTGTCCCCAGGTGCAGACATGGAGCATCACAGCCAAGCACATGGCAGCCGGGCAGTCGGGGCAAGACTCCACCCTCGCACACTGTTGCACACAGATGATGTGTGGAGTGCAGAGGGCGTAGCCACCATGGCGCTGCTGGGCCGCCTGGGTGATCTGCGGCGGGCCGTGGAGGCAGTGAGTGGCCCTGTGGGGGGTGGGGTGGGGGCGGGGCAGTTTTGGGGCACTTGGTCTCTAAAAGGTTCGCCATCACTGGGATAGGATAACAGAGTGATTTGGAGTGGAGTGGAGTGGAGTGGAGTGGAGTAGAGTAGAGTAGAGTAGAGTAGAGTAGAGTAGAGCAGAGTAGAGCAGAGCAGAGTAGAGTAGAGTAGAAGAGTTGGAAGGGACATTGGAGGTCATCTAGTCCAACCCACTGCTCAGGAAGGAAACCCTATACCATTTCTGACAAATAGCTGTCCGGCCTCTTCTTAAAAACCTCCAGTGTTTCGCTGCTTACTTTAGAAGAATGGATATTTAAAGTTTCTAATTTCGCAGAAATGGCAAAAATTTCTGCTTATTTAAAGGATCATACACAAGAAAGATATATTATTGTATGGAGAAGATGGATAGATTATATTCAGAAAAAGTATGGGACTACAAAGTATCATTTATTTTATGATTAATGGATTTGTTTATAAAATTATGATGTTAAAGTAAATTTTATAGCAAATGTTGTAGAAGAGATTTGTTTATGATGATGTAATTTAAGGGGAGTTGAAGGCTACCGTAAATGCCGGCGTATAAGGCGACTTCCGCGAGCGCTGAAATCGGCGCCAAAGACGGGGGTCGTCTTATACGCCGAGTCGTCTTATACGCCGGAAATACTGGTAGTTTCCGGCATATAAGATGACGTTCTAGGAATGCGGCCCGGCTATAAAGACGGGGGTCGTCTTATACGCCGGGTTGCCTTGTACGCCAGCATTTACGGTAAGTATGATTTTTTTCTTTTCTTTTCCTCTTTTCCTTTTTTTTAAATTAATTTTGTTACTAATAACCCTGTACTCTGCTCTGGGAAGTGAGGGGGGGGAGGGTTGAGGGTGGATGGGTGGGTGAGTGGGTGGGTAAGGATAATATAGATATGGTTGTTTATGAGAGAGGTGCTGCTTGGGCACTTCCCCTATGCTGTATTCTTGTGTTTGAGAGGGATGAGAGGGGAGGAAGGTGCAGGGAGGAAGTAGGATGGTGAGGAGAAGGGGAGGGAAGAGAGTAGGAGGGGAGGAGAGAAAGAGGAGGGAAGTAGGGAAGGTATTAGAGAGGGTGGACGCAGCCTGGGGGGAATGGGCAGGCGGTACCAATGGTTATGAATTTATTTTATCTTGTAAATTGTATTCTGTATGTTGAATAAATGGAAACATAAAAACTTAAAAAAAAACCCTCCAGTGTTGGAGCATTCACAACTTCTGGAGGCAAGTTGTTCCACTGATTGATTGTTCTCACTGTCAGGAAATTTCTCCCTAGTTCTAGGTTGCTTCTCTCCTTGATGAGTTTCCATCCATTGCTGCCAAAAACATTATTGTAGTTAATAGATAGAAGAGGATTGCATACAATAACTTAAACTGGCCCAGATATCATCCACTGAGGACC